CCGCCCCGCCGAGCCGCGGCAGCGGGCGGGGAGCGGCCCGTTCTCCCCCTGCCCGTATGAAATCATATTTACGAGCGACTTTCGACCGAGCACTGCCCGCAGATTTCCGCCTAGTCCTCCTCCGTCATCTCCCCCCGCTGCAAACAGCTCCGACATCCCTGGCGGCACTGGGAGCCCCACGAAGAGACGCCGTCGCCTCATTCAGCTGCCGTCTTCGACTGTCTCATGGCAGCGGGACATAGGGTCAAGCATTTAAGTGATGAGCAGTGTTTCTTGCAAGGTTTTCTTGCGGTTTAAGGTGGTAACGTCACTGCTAACTCCGTATAACTTCTAAAATTCAGATCACTACGGTATTTCGTGGAGGAGGTATGGGGAGTCAAACTTGCCCATGTAAATATTAACTTTTATATGTACTATCAAATGATTATTCACCATAAAGGATAATCCTAAGCAAATATCTCAGCCTTCCTATAATCTTTACACTATCACCTTCTCCTGTGTGAAAAGCAGCTTCCCGTACAATCTAAACATTCGCTAACAACACCTGGTTTCTTGAAAACACGTGACAATAGAAGAAAAAACCTTTGATTGGTACTTCCGCTGATGCCCTGTTTCTGAAAGATTTTCTGAAAACAGGTCAGCTGAGGAAATGATTGCCTTATTTTTTATTTTGATGTCTGATACTACATAATATTTCTTTTTAATATAAGGGTATTAACTGGAGAAATAAAGATGCAGTACAACGGATTCATATTCTTAAAGAAACACTGTCTTTAAGTCTGAAAAGGTCCAAACTTTCTAAAAGTTTCTATAACTTCTAAAGCTGCTTTATTTTGAAAACATCTGCCTCTAAAAGGCTACCTTGGGAGTGAGTCTTACAAAAAGGGACAATTTCATGTTGCTATGCAGACATACGTGATGTGAGAACTGGAATTAGGACTGGAGACACCTATTCATTTCTTCACTTTTTTGATAATAAATTTAACCTTACAAGCTGAAATCCAAGAAGGACCCACAACATGTCTGCCTTCCAAACTGTGTACAAATACAGTCTGCAGGTGGTCCCAAATTTACTGCACTTTCCTGCTTCCACATAGGCTCTACAGAGCTACTCACCATCCTTAATCTATAATAGAGTGGACCGATATAGTGATGAAGGGAACAGGGAGCCCTGAGAAGAAAGTCAGCAAAGACTCTCAGTAGGCCTCTCACCTGTGCAACTAGGGTTTTTGTCCCAGGAGAGGATTGCTCTGCAACCGTCACACACTGCTATGTTTTGCACTCTACCACCTAAAAGCAAAGGCTCATCAAGGTTTCTGTTAAGTAAAATTTACCATACTTTTCAAGACGACAGGCATAAAGTTACATTTCACAGAAGTACCTCATTTGTTGGTAGATTTGTTGTTGGATCATGGGAAATGCTAAACCCTTCCCTTACAGCTCAGTTTTTTATGAAGAGAGTTACTTTACTAATAAAATATGTTTTGCATTCAAAATATTTTCAGGTTAAAGATTATCAGAGATGCAATCAACATCAACATTACATAGATTAGTGATGAATCTAAAACGGAAATGCCTGATTTTATAAGGGTCATCGTAGACTCATGCAATGCTTATTCCTGATAATCACAAAATGTTCCTGGGTTACAGAGAAAGTAATATAACACTCAAGAGGATTGCCTTGCAGAGAGATTTCTTTAAATGTCACTTTTTAGAATTTATCTTGTATAAAAGCAGGATTCTCTGAAATGAGAATCCTCATTTCAGAGACTAACAAGATATTTTCTTAAATTTTAAATTTAATAGTGAATTCTTCTGCTAGTTTCTTCAATGATTTTGATCAAAAAAGCTATTAGGCACTTCTGAATTGCTGTTCAAACGCTTAAAAGTCATGCCTTTTATTCTTCGGAACTCTTGGATATTGTTACATGCATTCATTTACCTGTATCAGGTGCAGGTAAAAAACTAAGGAGATGCATTATGCAAACCTTATTTTCAGGACAGCAGAATTATAAAATAGAGCAAAGAATAGTTCTGTTCTGTCAATAAGGGTCTAAATATGGCATCTACAGTAGCAAAACACACTTCTGATGTTTCCATCTGCGGGCTGTTGCTATCCCTTTCTTTCATTATCCATTCCCACTACACAAGGCTTAGGACTGCTTTCAGACAAGCTCTATTATCTATGAAGATCATCCTGTCTGATGGATTAGTAGAAACAAAAAAGCGTGATGTTTTCACAAGAAATAAAAAGCCTGCTCCTTCTGTATTAAGGACTAGCTAGCTAATTCTTAAAATACATTGATCAAAATGTCAAGGACTTCATAGAGTGTAGCATGACTCTGAAACATGAAGTATTTCATACCACATTAAATATAAGCCCATCACCTAGGTAGTGCAAAAAATGAAATTATCTTCACCAGATCCCACACCTTTGAATATCTCTGCAGCAAAGGTACTGCCATTCACCTTGGATCACATTGTATCTATATACCTTGAAGTTACAGATGAAGAGAATTCAGGGCTTAAAGGTTCTAGAGCATGAATTAGACACTTACAGTAAGAAAGCAAGCACCAATCAAGACAGCTTCTCCAAGAAAGATGGGGGCACAGTAGCTGTCAGGATTTGACTCTAATAAAATACAGACATAATTAAAAACGCTGGGTATTTTTCAGTAGCTTTAACAATTTGAATATTAACAATTCCAATTAACTAAGGAAAATGAAAGCTATAAAACATTCTTTTAGACTAATAATTTATCCAGTTGAACATCTTTAAACCCCTGTTTTTGCCTTAACGATGAGGTAGACTCATTTGGCATTTAACTGTGCACCATTTCAAGTTTTCTGTTGAGATTTTCAGATGGAAGACATCAATTAGTGTGTCCAACTGCACAGCTCTCAGCATGAAAATTCTTGAAGATCCAGCGTCAATCAGTCTAGGCTTTTCTTTAGGCATTATTACTCAAATATATTCAAAATTCTAAATTGATTCATAGCTATCCCAGATTTGACATTAGATTTGTGCCTACCGGCGTCCAGTCTTTACAAATGTTGTGTAGACAGTGTATGTGGAGGACATTGAGGGGAACATGATCTTAGGTGTCTTCTCTGTCTAAGTGTTCAAATCATTAAGGCCTTGGGTACCTTGGGTACACAAGGCAGGTCAAAATGTTCCGTCAAAGTGGATGAAGGTCACCTAAAGTAATTCAGAGGGGAAAAAAAAATCAATACCCTAAAATTATGGCTACAGTCTCTGTGTCTTGTGATAAGTCAAAATGAAAACCTAATTTGCGGAATCTTTAAAGATAGTGGACAGCGAGAAAAGTAACTGTTGCAAGAACAGCAGCAGCAAAGCTGTGCGAAAGGTCTTTGCACTGGTATCTTTTCTCCTCTAAACTTTCATGAAGAGGAGTAATAAGAATACGTATAAGAACTTAGGGGAAAAAAATTGTTTGCCTGCTGCAAAATACATTCTTTGCTATACATTTGTGTATTTTGATTTCATAACTGTTTCAAAGCCAGTAATATCTGAAAAACGAGACACTACTCAATTGCTCATTGTGTCCCAGAAATGAAAACAGAAACAGTAGAGAGAGATCAACAAAGTCCCAAATTTACAAATACAGATATGTTTTCTTGAAAAATTTATAATCAGCTAGAAGGAACACTTCTTCTATAACACTTCTATTCTCTAAACATAACCTTGTAACTGTTTGCAATTCTTTAAATTTAAAGTAGACTACTGAGTATTTTATCTGTCCTTCAAAAAATTGAACCATTTGATACCAAGAATTTGGCTAACTCTTCTGAGGAGGCCTTGCAGATAGCTGAGAGAGATGGTTCCAGCAAAAAAGAAAAAAAAAAGTGAAAAGAGGTATAGAAATACTATCTCTAGAAACTAGCAATATAAAATCACAGTCAGAGCAAAAGGGGCAACTGGGAGCAAAGAAATTAAGAAATAAAGGTAAATAAGTAGGTCATATCTGAGTTATCAGTAGTATGAAGGAAAGAAAAAGAAACTTTAAAAGGAGGCACTTTATGGGATGGTGAGAAGAGACTATATGGTCAGGAACTGCCCCCCCACAAGCCAATCTGCTGTTGAAACCATCATTTTGTGAAACCACATTATCAAGTATTAAACAGTAGCTCTTATGAAAATGCCCTACTGAAACGTAGATAAACCTGACGTGTCATTGCTCTCCACTTTGCAACATACCTTTGGCTGTCCTTCAGCGCGCGGTACTACAGCGTGCCCCGCTGACTAGCTAGTACATTGTGCTATCCATAATTTAGGATAAACTTTGGGATCCTGCGATCCATTTAAATTCCTCAAATATAAAAATGAAGGTGGTATGTAAACATTCACTAGCATCGTCTTTTATCACAAATTTAAGAAAACGTACTACCTGTTTTCAGTATCCTAACCCAGGAGGGCTGTTGAGCAAGAGAGGGGGGCAGCCAGCGCCTAATGGGACTCCTGACAGGTAGCCCTGAAAGACAAAATTACCTTGTCTTAAGGAAAGAACAATTATGAAAATTAATATGAACCTCCACCCCACCCCAAGAAGGCGTGCTAGAAAATGGTATGAAAACCTGCACCGACTATCATCCCTTACAACCTACCTGATTATCAACCCAGTT